GGGATGCTGATCTGTCATTACTCTCCCGGACGCTCCGGGAGTCTCCCGCTATTAGATAGCGGCTCCCGGCCACCCGGGAGAGAAACACTTTCTCCCGGAGAGGTTTACTCTGCTTGATCGAGCAGAGTAAACCTTTCCCGTCAGTCAGAAGAAGAAAAACAGCATAGGAATGCATCGCTACATTCCTATTGGCTATTTCACTTTGCAATAGCCAATAGCAAACTAGCTATTGCACCCGCCCACTGCTGCTGTCAATCAGCAGAGGGGACCTGAAGTTCTCCATCAGGTCCTCTTCTAGTGATTGACAGCAGCAGAGGGCGGGTGCAATAGCCAGCTTGCTATTGGATATTGCAAATTGAAATAGCCAATAGGAATCTAGCTATGCATTCCTATGGTGATTTTTTTTTTTTTTTATTATTCTGATGGCAGCAGCTGTCCGAATACAACAAAAAAAAACATCTTGCAGATATCAAATATGCTATTGCTTCCTCTGCTATCTGCCATCATTTAAGGGGGTGCTCTCTCCCCCCTGCATTACAATGAGAGCTTAGCAGAGCCGGAGGTGATATGAAAGCTGACTCTGCGGAGCTCTCATGGTACTGACAGTTCAGCGTCCCCTGGTTACTTGGTAACCAGAGGACGCTGATCTGTCAGTACCGTGAGAACTCAGCAGAGCCGGCTTTCATACCACCGACGGCTCCAACAAGCTCCCATTGTAATGACAGCTGGTTCAGGCCAATAGAAAACAGTTAGGCGGAGCAAGCTGTCACTGCTAGCTCCGCCCAATCGTTTTCTATTTTTTTTCTACTTTTTTAAACAGTTTTTCTATTCTGCTCGGTACCAAGCAGAATAGCCGAGCTGAATGCTGAGCAGGTCCGGCCGACCCAAACCCAGCCGAAGCCACCCGATGTACGGCTGATTTCAGCCGATATACAGATTAAATCAGCCGTACCAGCCTGAAGTGAATAGCCGAACAGCATTCGGCTCACTTCGCTTCTGGTCGGTTATTCACTCGCCTGCCTACGGCAGTTTTGTGAATAGACCTGTATGTTACAAGGGGAAAACAAAATCTGCTGTGTGAATGCTAGCCACAGACAGCATCACATATTATGCATTTATATAATTTGCCTCAATGCTTACCCTGTGTCAGTCAGTAAAGGAAATCTGTCAGGAGTCTGCCTATCAGATAACCATTAAAGCAGAACTCCAGTATGCAGCAATCTTTTTTTATATTTCCCCTTTGTCTGCTGCACATATTTCTGCCCTATATTTAAACATTTATCTGAGCTCCCCTACCTTAAAACTGGGGAGAAAAAAAGAGAACACGTGACAATCCTTGGTCTTTTTTCATCTTGCTTAGCACAGAAAGGTGGGAGGTGTCGGGTAGAGGAAGCACATGACTGCAGTAATGCCCACTGTAATGGCAATTGACATTTGCAGACAGCGTGTCTATCTAAGCTAATACGCTTTTCCTGGTTATGAAGAGTACAAGTTAGTTAACCAGGATGTAACGTGTTTGCGGATGGATACGAAATTCGAAGAACGAACCAAATTGAATTTCAGATCTGAAATATGAAAAACGAAAGAAATAAAAATCTGAATCAAAATAAGTTTTATGGGGTTACATGTTTAGTCTGAGCTACCATTCTATACTCCTTACTGCTCTTGTGTCTTGGTGCTCATTGAGAAACAACATTCACACAGAGAGTAACACAACAACATACAATAAACTGTCAGCAGCAGAGAAGTTTGTGAGTCTCTGCATTCAATGTGCACAGGAAGGAATTGACCTCTTTATAATCCTGATTTAACAGCTTCTATGGAAATTGCATGCACCACATAGGACACAGCAGCAGTGACTGTAGCCAAGGGGGCATGCCTATGACAGTCAGCAGGTCTTGTGTGAGACTGGGAGTCAAACAAATAGGAAGAGTTTCTGCTGCAGTGCTCTTCAATAGGAATTCAGAGGCACACAGTGGAGAAGGGAGGCGGAGAAAACTAAAGAGCAGCATCATTTTCCACCAAGGACCAAAGGCAGAAGCATACAAGAGAGAAAAGGGTGAGAGGCTGGAGTTCTGCTATAAGCTCTTTGTTTACACCCAATAATTATTTAACAATGCACCAATATGCTGCCAGTTTCCCAAGCCTCTTAAAAAAAACGGAATAAACAAGAATAAAAATGATGGATTTCCAACCTCTGGCTCATTTAGACCTCTCTGGGTAATTAACACTTTCTGCAGTCCCCGTAAAAAAAAGTACAATCCTTGTCCTAAACTTCCTTCCAGAGCAGATCTGAACAGTGAAGTTCCAGTGTCGAGTTCACCTGTGAGTGGGGTCAAAAGTCAAATCTGAGATAGTGACCCCTGTTAGGTATCGCTGTTATTGAGTGAGCCAAATGAAAGTTCCCAATAAAGACAAACTTGGATGTGAAAAGCTCCCTTATAACATAAATTACACATTAAAACACATCTAAACTATTGTTCAATACTTACAAACCTTTCTAATATTCTTATTCTAACTTTGGCTCTCCAGCTGTTGTGGAACTACAAGTCCCATAAGGCCTTGCAAGACTCTGAGAGGCACAGGCATGACTCCTAGAGGCAGGGGCATGATGGGTTTTGTAGTTTTACCTACAAAATAAACAAAAAGGAGAGATAGAAGCGCTACAACCAAGTGGTGGATGTTGGGTGTTAATAAAGGTGGGCTTGATTGAAAAAACTTTGGACGATTGATGGCAGTGGTCGGTTGTGGTGCCAATACCGTTCTCCGGATGCTGTCAATGTAATCACAAATAATGATTCAGGGTTTGTGAGACAAGCTTATTAAACTTCAGGACCGCCCAACTCAGGACCGCCCAAGATTCAACCCCCCCCTTCAACCATTAAAAAATCCCCCGCCAAGTTCTCATCTTCCTCACCTTGGCTTGACATAGAAGAATCATTCTTTGAAACGCATTGCCTTCTACAAACCAGAAGCTGCACATAAAAAAACACCACACAGACCATTTGCCCTCATTAAAGGATACTTCCTTTTCTTCCCCCCTTTTGTCACCAACCCCACC